AGATATGAAAATGCTACCCTGCGTTCATCAATTTCATCACCCACTCCTTTGCTTTGAGGTCAGTCACTATGATACGCCCAGCAAGATAGTACTGAATGAACTGCGAGAGATCAAAGCAAGCAACAGCTTGTGTTCGAGGATCACTGGATGTATCCAAGATTGTGATCAGGACCCTTAAAATCTGTACCAAGATAGCAAGTATTAGTTTTGCACAAAAGGGATAAAAACGAAACAATTCATCAATCCATGAGAATGGTGATTATCCAAAGGTAGAGGATAAATGCAACAAAATCATAAGAACTCTTGCAATTATCAAAAATGATAACTATTGTTCTTAATAAATTTGAGGTCGATTACATAAATATGGGCTTTTTCAATTCTATGCACAACATGTCCCAACCACCCAAATCATCATTCCCTTAATTTAGCCTCCATCATACATTTTCATATCATATCTTATCTGCCCTAGTAACCTCATCTCCACGACTAAATATTTTAGGGATATTTTGTCTTTTGAAGAACCAACAAACAGTAGAACGAAGAGTAACATGTCTCAAGATGTCCAAAGAGGATCATTTTCTTCAAAGTTAATAATATCTGCCCGCCAAAAAATAGGATCTTTGTGCATAGGGGACCAATCAAGATGTCCAAGGAGGACTTCCTGCTTGTACTTGTCGAAAGAACTTAGCCTCTTAATGTTATCTTTCAGTCCTTCTTCCAGTTGATTCAGAGCCTCCTGCAGATCCTACAGAGAACATTCTCACTTTAGCACTTGAAATATCAAGGGTAAGAAGAAGGTGGGGAAGATCATCTAAGCACAAAAGCAATATTGATTTTTATGATGGCTCGGCATAAAGAAGGCACTGAAGATAATCAAGTGAGCTACTACTACTACAGCAGTACTTAATTTCAAGTGCAACCATTATGAATGGATGAATTTGTTTTAACATACGTTATAAATGTGTCATATTAACATGATAAATCGATCCACCGTCCTAGCCCCCACAAACCCATAAAAAGAACAAAAGCACTGCACCACATTGCATCTCAGCAGTTGAGACATCCTTGACAAATCATAAGCAAGGAATAGGCAGACCTTTTCCCACATAAATTGGCACATAATAGACATGATAATTCTCAATGCTAAAGAAGAAAGCATTTATACCTTTGCCAGTGCCTTGTCTAAATGTAAAGGGAATAAAACTTTGGTACTATTTCTTTATGTAATTTGTGTGTGAAAAACGCTCGAAAACAGCTTTTCCATTTTCCTTATTTTTGACTTCAGAAATAAGCCCTTGTTTAATCCCCCTTTTTTTTCCAAAATACATTTTTTTTTCTCCCCCTCCTGTGCATGATCCTCCCGAATCACCCCCTGAAACTATACCTCCCTCTCCCCTGCCTGAATGCCCTCCACCACCACCACCACCACCACCTCGACCTCCAAAACCTCCACCACAACCAGAACAGTACCGCAATTAAATAGTCAATTACTTCAGACAAATTATGGATTTGGGGCTTCAAATATTAGAGACTCACCAGTTGAAATCGTTGATACGAATTCAATCGTACTTCATGCTTTTAGAGAGGGAGAGTGAAGATGTAGGAGGAGACGATTCCGGCAGTTTTCACATTTTCAGGTTGCTGGTTTTCTAGGTTGATTTCAGCCATATTACGAGACAATTTTGGGAAATGTTGGGTAGAAATTGTAAAAGATGTCAAGGGCAATCTGTTGGGACCAATGTTCGGCGGTTTTGGTAGCTGAATGGTGGCGAAAAAGGGATTCAGAGGTAGAAGTGGAAGGAAGGAAGCCATGGGGAGAGGAATGAAGGAGGCGTGAATGAGTTTAGGATTATGGTTCTATATATAATTTAATTTAGAATGTCATGCGAAAATATTATTTATTTGTAACGTTTGATTAATGTGGTTAAAGATGAAACTTTTCGCAACGTTTGAAAAACGTTGCTAAAAGTCACATTTCGCAACGTTTATCAAATGTTGCCAAAAGTCACCTTTAGCAACGTTTACCAAACGTTGAGAAAAATCTTACCTTTGGCAACGTTTGATAAACGTTGTGAAATGTAAGACTTTTCGTAACGTTTGACAAACGTTGCTAAATGTGACTTTTTGCAACGTTTGACAAATGTTGCGAAAAGTCTTACCTTTCGCAACGTTTATCAAACGTTGCTAAAGGTAAAACATTTCGCAACACTCAATAAACGTTGCTAAAGGTGTCTACCGTAACATTTTTCTAAAAAACGTTGTCAAAACTCATTTATTAATATCAATGGCAAC